TCCATTTTATGCCCTCCTTTACTGAGGGCTTGGAGCTTGTGCCCTGGTCACCTACCCATAATTATGCTACTGCTAGATTTCAAATAAACAGAGAAGAGATAAATAAATGAAAAGGGATTTTAGCAGAAGTGGATATGAGGCCCTAATCTGAGCATGAAATAAAATAGGGGAAAATAAAGATTCTGGCCAAATAGAAGAAGGAGGGAAGGAGACTGAAGGAATGAACAAACATACCTTGAACCATTGTTAAAAAAAGAACAGAGAGATGCTGTGGATTGTGCACCAGCTGTTATAATGTAACTATTACCTCTGCATAGGTCAGCACTACAAGTTAACTATATCACCTTAACTTTGTTAATTAACCAGGGTTAAAACTGAAGCATTTTTTCTGTACCTCTATTGCTACAGTTTCATGCAGAGGTAACATTTACATTGTAACAGCTCATGCTGGTCTCCTTTGATAATACAGTTGTTACATCTCTCTATCTGGTTAGGTCTAGGATGATGTAAGGTTCTGGATCAATAAGGAAATCATCACTGAGGCTAAGGATATTGATCCTCCCCATGAGAAGTTTGACCATTGAAATAACTGGCTGTAGGAAGCTAAGATAAAACCACAGGTTTACATAGCAAAAGAAGGGTGGTGGGGTGACCAGAGAGGGACTACTAAAGGTATTGAAAGGCTGGACTTGGCTTCCCAGCAGTACATGTGGCAGCTGCTTGTTCTCAAGCTGCCTGGCCCATCTACCCTGGACACACTGCCATGGGTGCAGTTCAGAGTGGGTTGGCAAGGGGGAGTCTCCATGGAGACTGGCCTGGGACCCCCACAGGCAAGGGGCACTAGGCTGGATGGCTGGGATGGGGCTGTGGGGCAGGATGGGAGTGGTGCCTGGGAGTGGGAAAAATAAGTGGGACTGGGGCTAGGACCAGGTTCATGGGGCAGTGACAGCATGGGACTGGGGCCTGGGGCAGAGCCATAATCTGCTCCCACCACATTGCTGTGACATGCACTGGTTCTGCTGGTTCCTGTGACATGGCTGGCCCTTGCCTGAGGAACCAGTGCCTATCACAGGGACATACAAGGAACAGATCATGGCTCTGCCCTGGGCTCCTGGCTCATTCTGCTATTGCCTTGCAATCCTGGCCCTACCTGCCTGTCACACTCCTGGATGCTGCTCCCAGTGTCCCCATGGCCTCATTCCACCTGCCTTGCTGAGTGCACTCTCCCCACAGGGGTCCTGGACCAGTCTCCATGAAAACCCAATCCACCTGCCCATGTACTCTATCCGGCACCCCAGCAGGGTGGATGGGCCCAGGGCAGATAGGATCAATTTGCATCTTCCTGGCCCCTTCCCCGCCCCCACCCTGCTGGGTGGTTTAAACTGCTGTGTTGCGGGGGATGAGGCCAGGTCAGCATCCTTCACCCCTGGCCCTCTAGAGCTCATCAAAACTCCTTAAGTGCCCCTCCAGCCCAAATAATTTCCCATTCCTGGTTTAGGGCATAACTGATATGATCTTCACTACTTGCCAGCTTCAGGAAAAATGCCAGGAACAACAAAAACCCCTCTACATGGTCTTCTTTGACTTCATGAAAGCATTCAACTCTGTCAGCTGAGAAGCACTATGGAGGATCCTTCTGAAGTATAGTTGCCCACCAAAATTTTCACCATTTTTGCCTGCTACACGATGGGGTACAAGTAGTGGTTCTCAGTAATGGGTCTATCACAGATCCTTTGAAATTAAGACAGGAGTGAAGCAAGGCTGTGTAACTGGCCCAACACTTTTCTCAATATTCCTTACTGGATACATCTATACAACATGCTTTACTGAGTATTAGGCTAACCTAATACACAATAAAGCATCAGTGTCTATGTGTGTGCACAACTTACTGCACAGTAAATTAGGCTAATGTGCTCTTTGGTAGTACCAGCAAATACAGCTACTAGATTAATGGTGCATTAACTACTGCACAGCAACGCATGTGCAGATACTGGCTTGGAGCAATTTGCTCATGATCAATCTAGGCAGCAGGGGGCCACAGAGGGTGTGTGTATGCGGGGTGGGGGGGTAGCCATGGAAAGGGGAACTGTCTACACAGTTCCAATGTGGAGCTCAGGATTGTAGTCCAGTTTGCCGATGCTGGTTTGGAGGGATGTCCTGTGGCGGAGCTCTCCTCTCACTCGGCTTGCTGATGGAAAGGGGGAGCTCTCTGTCTCCTGTCCCAGAGCAGCTCAGCTCCCACAGCTTCTGTGCTGCTTATGCTTCCACATCTCCCCCCAGTCTCAGCGCTGCTTAACCCCATGCTCAGGCATGGGGCATCACCCCAAGTCAATGTCACTGAGCTAGGCTACAATCCCAAGCTCCGCACAGCTGAGAATTGTCCCCCACTCCAAGATAGCTACTTCCAGTCCCTGGATGCCAGGCTTGACCCTTGTGCCCCCACCAGCCTGGGGCTGGCACTGTGGGAGCCTGGAGCTCCTCCTAGCTACCGCAGCTGGGCAGAGCAGAGAAAGGGGGCAGGAGCAGACCTTGACTCAATGGCTCCCATTGAGAGAAAATTTGTGCCCAATGTGGGCGCATGAGTAGATGCATTCCTGGGCATAGTTTACTGCAGCTTATTTTAATGTGCAGAAACCTTAAGGATATGAATTGCATGTGTAGATGCACCCACTGTGATGGTATATCTGATCATCAATGAGCTTCCAGATAGAGTGGAGCTAAACTATTGAATGGATGGTAAGCTGTTTAATCTCAATCAACTTTGAGCCAAAACCACAACCACCCTAACCTTAATCAGTGAGCTCCAGTATGCTGATGATACTGTCCTGTGTGCTCACTCAGAACCAGACCTTCAGGGAATCACTGACGTCTTAAGTGAGGCATACAAGAAAATGGGACTGATGCTTAACATTCAGAAGACTAAGGTCCTCCATCAGCAAACTCTTAATGAGCAGTCTCCATCTCTGGTAATTCAGATTTATGGTGAGACTCTGTAGAACACTGAGTATTTTCTGTACGTTGGAAGCCATCTCTTGCAGAAGGCTGACATTGACAAAGAAATCAAACTTCATTTCTAAAAGTAGAAAAGCAGCCTTCAGGTACTTGAGGAAATAAATGGGTGTTTAAAGATTGCAACATCAGTTCTGAAACCCAGCTCATGGTTTATCAAGCAGTCATGATCCTCACCTTAGTGTACAGAGATATGATGTGGACAACATACAGGAGATACCTCAAGTCACTGGAGAAGTAACATCAACACTGCCTGCAGAAGATCCTTCAAATTCAGTGAAGACAGATGCAACATTAGCGGCCTCTCACAAGCAAACACCATGAGCATTGAAGCGATGATCATCTGACATCAACTTTGCTGGGCCGGCCACATCATCTGGATGCCCAATTCCAGACTCCCAAAGCAAGTTTTATTCTCCCAGCTCAGTCAAGACATATGCTCAAGTGGAGGGCAGAGAAAGTGCTTCAAGGATTCCTCAAGGCCAACTTAAAATAACTTAACATTGACATCAACTCAAAAGAGACTATCACCCAGCACAGCCTGAAATGGAGGAAGAGCCTGTTGCAACAATATCAATACACTCTGTTGTTGTACTCTTACAATAACAACAGAAGATGGAAAATCTAGGGTGGCAGAAACAGCATGTGGCAGATGGAATCAAGAATCTGGAGCCATCCACCCCACATGGAAACACATGTTGCCCAAGTTGCAAGAGGGTGTCTCAATTCTGGATCAGTTTCATCAGCCATTTTGGACTCACAGATAAAGCGATCATGGAAAAGAATCACCACCCTTGACCGTGAGGGATTGGCGATATATTGCCTTAAGAAATCCTTGCCTCTCACATAATTTCTAGACCATCACAGCTACAACATCACTCTTATACTACCATATCACCTGGAAATGAGAAATGGCCTAAACTATCTATTCTGGGGTCAGATCTAGGGCTTGGAGGATAATTCAGTGAAGGCTTAAAGTGTGATTACACTTTAAGTGTGATGAGTGATTACAATTAGGTGTTACCCTTTCATTCCTTCAACTGGTGAAGGGGGTGTCAGGAAAAGCAACAAAGAGCAAATCATGACAGCTACCTGTTATGAACAGGTGATCTTTCTTACAGAGTGAGAAGGGGTGGTCTTTCTGGATCATTTCACTTTCTTGCCTTTACTTTTTCTGCCTCCCTCTGTGACCTCTCAGTGATATTCCCATGAATGGAATGAATGCCCATTGACACCATATCAAAGATTTTTTAGGCAGAGTCACTTAAAAGCATGGTGTGGCAATCCTTTTTTAGAATCTGCAGCTTTCTCAGATCCTGTTTGCTTGAGGTTCAAGCTGATGTGATCTTCTCTCAGGGACTATGCATATTGCCTTTGCAGTTCCTATAGGCTCTGTGGACCCAACTGAAAGGGACTAAAGGGAGCATGGCAAGGTGAGATAAAGGCCTGTGGCACACTCTGTTTGAAGAATCTTAATCTCTAAGGGTATGGATAGTTTGGGAAGGACTCTGATCAAATTTATTTGAGTTCAGATGTGTTGTGATCCCAACAACTAGTAAGTTCAGACCCTGGTTGTTCTTTATTATATATGCTTAGTCTAACATAGCATATATATAAGCAATTTCATCTTGTATACAAGATGAAATGGCCAGGGTGACAAAGAGGGGCTCTTCTTTGCTTGTCATTACTGCTCCCCCAGTTATCTGGATCTGTGACTGCACATTGTGGTTATGGACATGAGTACAGAGCCTCTAGTCATGAGGAAAGACAAAACTAGTATTTAATTTAAGTTATGAATAACTCCGTTATATTTAAACATGTACATTATTAGAAATATGATCCTACACTTAATGGTAATAGAATAACTTACTCATATATCAATGACATATGAACAATTCTATTACCATTAATGTATTTTAATGCCAGTATGTGTAACAGGCTGGCAGAGGAAAGTTACAACATATGTAATTTTGCTCTTTATTTTCTCTTACCATTTGTAGGTGTCTGGGTTGCACTGTTAAGTACCAGGTGGTTATAATTTTGCTCCTGGTCATCTGAAATTCACAGAAAAAAATATCCCTTTAAGAAACAGTTCAGTGAATACACTGATCTGCAGATGATAATTATGGTTTGCATTATTCACAAGAAATCTCAGCATGATTAAAGAAAGGCGAAGAAAATGCTTAAGAAAGCAGAAGTCTTTCATGTTATTTGATTAAACTTCCAGATGCTAGAGGAACATGATAATGGAAAACTGCATCCATTCTGCTGAGCCTGAAAATTGGAGTATCTGCAAGGTAAGAAGCTTGTCTTGACAGGAATAAGCCATGCTGTGCATTGCAACTTCAACAGTGTGATTATGAGAGGTCCAGTACCTCTAGAACTCTCTATGAAGCCATTTTAGTAATACATCCCCACTCCCACTGAATACAGCATCAGGGTCAAACCATTGTTATTATTTTTTTTTCATTTGAAGTGGGCTTAACTACTCTCCTTCTTTGACTGCAATTGCTGACAACAGCAACACTCAAAGAGAAAAATGAGAACTTCAACCAACAAAATGCATAAAATGCAATGCTTCCATAGGAGCTGGATCTAAACTACAAAATTCAGTCTTAAAAGAATAATCACAGTCTAGTGTATTCAATGCTAAATGCACTTTGCTGCAAAGCAACAAGAAAATATTAACAATGTTAATGGTGACAGAAGCCAGAGCCTTCCCAGGGTTGGGACCATCTTACTCAGCCATAACCCCACTGCTTTATAGTCTTCTTGGCCCCATGTATTGTTTTCCTCTTATTTAGTGAGCAAGCTTCAATAGAAGGAGTAGAGGATACTTTTGGCAATGCCTAGCTTATGGGGTGGTAGTTAGGGCATTTTGTTAGGAAGTTGGTTCAAACACCTTCCAGCTGAGCAGGAAACCTAGAACCTGGATCTCTCATTCCCAATACCAGGGGTGCTTAACCCTTGGCCACCAGTCAGATCCAGTCCTCAGCACCCTGTTAACCAGCCACAGTGCTCCCCACAGATCTGTGGAGAGCTTGATGGGCCATGGCCCTGTGGATGCACAGGGTGGTCTGGGGCTTGAATCTCATGTCCAAGGCCTGCCTGGGGGTGGTGTATGCCTGCTGGAACCAAATCCTAGCTCAGAAGACTAGAGCTCCTACAGCCTAATCTCAGATGGGTGAAGCAGTGTGGAGGCTGATTCTGGCCCTGTGGGGGCAATGTGGGTCTCTGCACTGCCCTCACCCAGACAGGACTGGGCTCCAGCCAGGCGGAGATGGTGTGGGGCCCCAGAGTTCAATCTCAATGCACAGGAACCAATCTGGCCTTCAGAACACCACTTCCCTGCACTATTAGGCTATTGAGCAAAAAGGTGGGAGGGCCCTCTTCCATGCAGTCTGTGATTCCCTGGGGAGGTAGACTCTAAATTCTATGTAAATAGTAAAAAATGACACTTGCAAAGCAAACTTAGGGCCTTGCTACATGGTGCACTTCGAGCTGCCCAAATGTTGATGAGTATTAGTACTAGCTCAAGTTTGGAGCACTCACACCTCAAGACTAAAAAACCTTCTCTGACTGTCCCCCATCTACACATCTATGACTTGCCATTAGAGAGCTGGTGAGCAGATGCCTGATTAGGAGCTACAGCTGTGAGTTGTCACTACAGGGCTGGTGAACCAGGACAGGCTTCTATTCCTGCTCTAGATGGGTGGGGGTAGGATGATAACATGAAACTGAGAAGTGGAGAGTTAATGAGATGGGGATGAGTAACATTGAAGGTGGAAAGGAATTTGGGGTGGGTATAGGGTGGTGCAATGAAGGAAGTCAACCACTGAAGAATAAAATAAAAAGTAAAAAAGAAAAAGAAATAAAGAGAGTAAATTAAATAAGGTCTCATGTTTTCAGAAATTGGGATTTGGAGTTGGTGTTTCATGGGGGGTGGGTGCTGGTCATGCTTCCCAGGGTGGCTGAGAGGTGGGAGTAGTAAAGGAATGTACTGTTGAGGGGGTTACTGCCCCTACTCTGGGAAGGAAGCCCAAGCTCATGGGGACCTGATCCACCCCTTACTATGTTTTCCCCAACCACCTAGACCCTACTCCTAGACCTGTTTGTACCCTGCAACCTGGCATGTGCTCTGCAGCCTGTTGGCATGGGGTTACACCCTTGGGGATAAGAAGATCACATTGTCAGGTTGGAAGGGGGAGTTGGTTTGGTGCTAGAACTGCTCCCAAGCAGTTGAGTTTAGAGGGTGGAAAGTTTGTCTACACAGAACAGGAAGGTGGGTGGGGACACTGCATCCTGGGATGCTGCAGGACTGTAACTTGCGTGGTTCCTTTGTCAGAGTGGCCACACATTAATGGAACATGAGCTGGGCAACTTGGATCGGAAATACACCTGCCCTGAAGTGGTGTTGCTTTAAGATGCCTAAAGTATGCTTAAAATTAAGTATAGTTGTTAATGTGTGGACAATCCAGGAGTTATGAGCTTCAGGTGCCACCTAAAATTAATGTGTAACAAGGCCCTTAGGTCCTTAAGTGCTACTTACCCATGTCAGTTCACCTGGATTTTGGCCTATGCCCACACTGGTCCCTGCTGAGCCTGAGACTTCTGGGCACATATGGGATAGATTTATTTTCCTTTGGTCAACTCAATGGAAGCTTTCTAGCCATGTAAGTGGTAGTTTGGACACTTACAGAAATCATAGAAAATTAGATTTGGAAGGGAGCTCAGGAAGTCATCTAGTTCAACTCCTTGCTCAAAGCAGGCCCATCCTCAACGATCTCATCCCAGCCACAGCTGTGTCAAGCCGGGTCTTAAAACCCTCCAAGGATGGAGATTCTACAACCTCTTTGGGTAACCTGTTCCAGTGTTTTACTACATTTACTACATTCACTATGCCAGAACTCAGATTGCGTGTCGTGCACACCCAGGTGCCCAGAGACCATGGTAAGTCAGTTAGACAGCCCCTCCACAGGTGGCTGTGACAGCCCTCTGTGCCCATTCCCTCCATGGGAGCAGGTGGCCTGCTTGGTGCTCACCTCAGGCAGTCTTCCTTCCCTACCCCTGTCCCAAGCCAGGCCAGGCTATGTCAGGGCTGGCTCCTGGCAGAAGCTGCCAGGGCTGCTCCAGACCTATGCCCCTCTTCACTTTCTGGAGGCCAGGCAGTCTGCTCCCACAGCACCAGGTCCAAGCCAGCCAGGGTCAGGGGGCAAGGGCAGATGCAGAGCTGGTGGTGCCCCGCCGTCCCTCTGGGGTTTCATAGATTGTAAGGCTGGAAGAGACCTTGGAAGATCATCGGGTCCAGCCCCCTGCACCAAGCAGGAAAGATAACTGGGGGTCAGGTTACCCCAGCAAGGTGACTGTCTAATCTCCTCTTGAAGATTTCCAGGATAGGTGATTGCACAACCTTGGGGTGGGGAGGCTTATTCCACAGTCTGGACACCCTGACCGTGAAGAAGTTTTTCCTAATGTTGGGTCTGGATCAGTCTTCCAGGAGTTTGTGGCCGTGACTCCTAGTTTTCCCTTTCAGGTGCCCTGGTGAGCAGTTGCTCACCGAGCTCTTGATGTACTCCCCTAGTGTAGCAGTAAGCTGCTACCAGGTCCCCTCTTAGCCTTCTTTTCTTCAAGCTGAAGAGTACCAGATCCCTTAGCCTTTCCTTATATGGCTTTCCATGTAAGACTCTGATCATATGGGTGGCTCTTCTTTGAACTCTCTCAAGCTGTCCCTGCCCTTGTTAAAGTGTGGTGCCCAGAACTGGATGCAGTACTCCAGTGCTGAGTAGAGCAGAAGACTCACCTCCTTGGTTTTGCTGGAGATGAATTGATTGGTGCATGCCAGAGTATTATTTGCCCTACTGGCTACAGCATCGCACTGCCAGCCATATTCAGACTGTAGTCTATTATTACCCCCAGGTACCTTTCATTCATGGTGCTAGTCAGTTTGGTGCCACCAAGCCTGTAGATGCGTTGGGGGTTGCTCATCCCGAGGTAGAGCATTACATTTCTTGATGCTGAAATTCATCGGGTTCTGATCTGCCCAACTTGCTAGCCTGTCTAGATCTGCCTGTATCTGTAGCCTATCTTCAAGCGTGACCATACTTCCCCATAACTTGGTGTCATCTGTGAACTTGGCCAGTGAGCTCTTCACCCAAAAAATCCAAATTGTTAATAAAGATGTTGAAAAGTACTGGACCAAGCACCGACCCCTGCGGGACACTGCTGCCCACTTCTCACCAGCATGACAGAGCCATTCACTATAACTCTCTGGGTCCTATCCTGCAGCCAGTTTATCACCCACCTGACTGTCTCAGAGTTTAGCCCACAATCCTCCAAGTTTCTTGTGAGAACATTGTGGGATACTAGATCAAAGCCTTTTGGAAGTCTAGGTATACAATGTCAACCTGCTCTTGTGTGTCCAAGTGGTGAGTTACCCGGTCATAGAAGGAGATGAGGTTGGTAAGGCAAGACCTGCCTGTGACAAAGCCATGCTGGCTGTTGTTCAGAATCTTACCTTCTGCAAGCTTATCGCAGATAGGCTCCTCGATGAACTTTATAGGATTTTCCCTAGGATGGAAGTTAGGCTGATTGGCCTATAGTTACCCAGGTCCCCCCTCCTGCCCTTCTTGTGTATGGGCACAACATTGGCCCTCTTCCAGCCCTCAGGGACTTCTCCAGGAGCGCCACAAGTTGTGAAAGAGTTTTGCCAGAGGTTCCGTAATGACTTCAGCCAGCTCCTTCAGCACTCTTGGATGGAGATCATCCAGTCCCACTGACTTGTATATGTCTAATTTTTTTGATTGGTCATACACCAATTCTATGGCAATAGTAGGAAAGTGATTATTCCTACCGTGCTCATCCTGTACTCTACCTGGAGTTGTTTTCCCCTTTGTCCGGTGAAAAACTGAGGCAAAATAGTCATTCAGGAGTTCACCTTCCCCTTGGGTGCTGGTAAACAGCTCTCCTGAGTTGTTGAAAAATGGCCCCACACTCCCATTCATTTTCCTCCTGTTCCCCATGTACCTAGAGAAGGACTTCTTGTTGTCCTTGATTC